GGCCGGGTCCTTCCTCGGTCTTTTCTTTGACCGGCCAGTCGGCTGCTTGCTGGCAAGTGCCAGTACTGCCCCTTCTTGTTGCCCGGCGGGTGTGGAAGATGTCCCCCCGGTTGCCTCTGGTTTTTGGGACTCGCTTTCTTCCCCGGTGATCATGGACTTGATGGCCCTGATTTTCGCCATTTCTTGCTCGGCGGTGAGTGGAACATGCCTGATCGGTGGTAGGTTTGGATCTGGTTCTGGGGTTGGCGCACGCAGAAAGTCGGTAACCCGGCTTTTGTGCGGTGCGGTGTAGTGATAGGTCTGTTCGAAGCCGAGCAGTTTCAAAGCCTCCCTCTCCTCGGCAGGATGGCACAGCAGGGCTCTGATGGCCTCTTGGTTGGCCTGGTGGTAGTCTGCTGCTAGGTGCTTATCTGCAAAAAGAAGACAAGTGTTAGATCGGCATGGAAAGTAATTGATGCATAAAGAAAATAGCGCGGTCAGCCGAGCGGCTCACCGGCACTGCCAAAATCCTTTTTAATATACCATCCCGGTATGGGTGCCTCGGTGTCCTCATAGCGACCGGACACCCACAAGAAGTCGTCGTCGTTGGTCTCTTTGTCCGGGTTGCCCTCTATTAGCTTTGCTCGGCCCTTCTTGACTTTGAGGTACCAGCAAAGCCCACTCTTATTTCTACTTAGACTATACTGATGGAAAATTTCGGCCAGACCGAGATTGAGACCGAGCCTCTGGTTCAGCTCGGCGACCCCGTTTATTATTTTGTAAGTGTTATTTGAAACTTGGGTCGGGCAAAGCCTTGTCTGCCTAAAAAATTCGCAGATCAAGGGTTGAACCAGGAAGCGGAGCCCTCCCTCTACTATTGATACGGCGATGAAGGGGCACCGGTCTAGATCCCCCCAAGGGGTGTCCCCCTTTTTGGCGAGCTCTAAGACGACGTCATTTGGGATGTTGTACTCTCTACGAAACTCGGCCATCGCACCGGGCGAGCTCACCATGAATCGGTACTTGCCCATCTATTTCGGTTTTATTTGGTGAACTAACTTGTATCTCGGACAAAAATGTTGGTGTGTTTGCTCGGAGTTTGAGCTCCACCAATTATAGTGCTGGACTGGCTTGGTCGGTCCTATTTGTTCTGCATGTTAAAAAATAATTCCAAGGGTTAGCACGACATAAATTGCGCGGCCCCTATGGGAATTGGCTCAGTGAAGGGATTATTAGTGTTTGGCCGGTTCGACCCCTACCTCGGCTAGGCTACTTGGTCGATTTCCTAGTTCGGTTCTAACTCTCCACTTCTGGCTCGGTCAAGGTCCAAGAAGGAGATCCTAACAAAGTTATAGCTCGGTCGGGTCTTATTTGACGAACTAACTGAGCCTTTAGCTCGGTCAAGGCCCAAGTAACGACCTCAAGTTTTCACCCCGTTCAGTTCTATTACCGGTCTAATTGGTAGTTCGGCTCGGCTACAGTCTCTACGAGAAGCCACAAACCAGTTTTTTGCTCGACCGTAGTATCATTTATGGATCTAAACGAGCGTTTAGCTCGGTTCTACCCAGATTCAAACTGTTCATCCCAGAAATAGGACGAACTCGTTCGAACCCAAGAGAAACAAGGGGCACGAAAGCCCCATCCATTCCTACTGTTTTTGTTTGCCCTAGGGTGTGCAAGATCTAAGCAAGGGAAAGCAACTCTAATGGCCCCAAGCATAAACATGAAGAATACAAGCACAAAAAAGTGGAAAACTTGAGGAACTTGAGTACGAGAGTTTGAAGGAAGGGTAGAAGGACTTACCAAATACCAGATGTAAGAACCGGGCCTCTCGAACTTGGTTGTGACCTCACGAGAAACAAAAAATAGGAACGGAAGCAGGTGAGATGCAGCGGCAGGTGAGATGCAGCGGCAGTGAGGGCAATTTCTCAGAGAATATGGAAGTTAGGGTTTAGGGTTTGTGTGGAAGAGAAGGTGAAAAGTGAAGGGTTTTAGGCCCTTCGTTGGAATACAAAAGAGGAGGGAAGGAACCCAAACGGCTGCGCCGTTTGAATTCTGCGCGTGCAGAACATCTGGCTGCACGACCCAATGGCGTGAAGCCACGTGGCACTGGGAACGCGGCTGTCAGTACGGTTGTATGACCTTTGATGAGACTGCAGAGGAAATGGCCGACCAAATGGGACAGCTCGGCGACCGGTATGCCCCCAATCGTGCTCGGCTTGGTAATGGTGCAACTCATCTGTTAGCTCGGTCACGATGGTAACCCCAATCACGACAAGGTCGGATGGGGCTAAGGGGCAATTGAGAGGGGAGATTTGCGCGTTAGTACGGCCGTGCTATGATAACGCCGATCATGACGAACCGCACGGCGTCGAGCAGACTCCTCTCTTGCACGGCCTAGCGGCCTGACTTGCACGGCCGGAGAGGTCGACCTACCAGACACGAACCAATGCCTGGCCGAGCTATGACGCGTCCGAGCGCGCAGCGGTGTCTGATGATCATGCTAAGAGGAGCCCGGACTAGACTTGAGATGCGATTAGCGCCAGCATGTGCCTAACCGATCGGCCGAGATGGACGGGCTTCATGTGATCAAGAATGAAGAACGGTGAAAGTCCAGCGTGCTTCATGGCCGGTCAGTCAAGTGGGACCGATCATAAATAGCCCGGTCATAAGCATAACACTTTGGCCCTTTTGCCAAGTGGCAGGTCGGCGTTTATTAGCTCGGTTGTGTGCTTGTGGAGAATTGCCTCCACAAAGAACCGGCCGGTCGTGGTACTCCGGTTAAGTGTGCCACCTGGGCCAATGGCGTGAGGGAGAGGACATCTGCTCCACGCACGCACCAATACCGTTTGGCAGTTCTGCATGTGCTGATTGGAGGACAAAATCTTTACACGCGTAAGGTGGTGAGAGGCAAGCACTGTCACCTGTCCAGGGAAGGACAACAGCGGTGGTGCGCGCACGATCTTGGGGCTGCATGGCCAGTCTAGAAATAGTGGAGGAAGGTGAACGTTAGAGGCATGCAACTTCTTCCCCAAAGAGAATACTCTCTCTCTAATAGTCTTTTTCTTCCTCAAGTGGACTGACTTGATCGTCGGAGGGTCTATCCGGCACACCACCGCCGGGCAGCTCACCGTTTCTGTGTTGCCAGGTAGACGCCGTCAAGAGAAGCTTGGAGTACAAGGAGTACGGAAAGCAGAGGATATTTCGCCCCCGTACATGATTAATATTTTGAAATAATAAAAAATAAAATAAAATACTCATATTTTAAAATGGTGGGAATAATAACCTTTGACAAAAGGTCTCTTTTGCAAAGATAGTTAAAAGTTAATTTTTAATTTATTTAAAATCACATTATTTCTTTATTTTTTTACAAATTTTTTTAAATAAATAAAAAATTTACTAAAAAATATTAACTTTTAATCAATTTTTTAAAATAATTCAAAATTGTAAAAAGTAACGTCAGGTGCATTTAATTAAGCAACAATGATTCATCCCATTAAAAACACCACCACTAATAGCACTAATGCATTAAAAAAGTAAAAAAAAATAAAAAAAAAAAATACAACTCTAAAACCAAAACATCACATCATTAATGACGAGACTCACTGCCACCTAATTAGTGGGAGCACTAATTAGTGCTCACAAGTATTTTTCTTAATTAAGATGTAGAACGTACGTGGTTTGGTTATCTGTTATGCCGTACTCTGACGGCTTTGATTATTACGCCTTCTGGCACGCACCCCTATGTCTCACACTAGTTCATGAGAAATTTTTCATGGATAATTCGCTCTTTTTTTTTTCTTTTTTTTTTTAATGGATAATTTTGTTTATGGAAGGAGTCAATTAAAGGGTTATTTGGAAAGTACCAAATTAATTTAATTTTTAATTTTTTATAAAAAAATATAAAATATGAATTGAATTTAAAGTAATACGATAAATAAGTGATGTGATTTAAATAAAATAATTAAACCTAAGTAAAGTAATGTGTTAAAATAACACGTGCTATTTTAACATATACCAAACAATCACTAAACATATTTTCTCTAAAGTTGCCGAGAAGCATATGGATTTTTCCGGGATTTTATGAAATTACACTAATATTTCTATTTTAGATATATTGATTTATTTTAATAATTGGATTAAAAGCCAAAAAATTAATTTTTTAACTTTTTTTTATCACATCACTTTTTTTTTATTTTTTTACATGTTTTAAAAAAAGGATAAATTACAAATATTTATTTTGTAAATGATTTTTTGATTATTTTAATTTAGGATTAAAAAATTTCGTTTGAAAGTGATTTTTTGATTTTTTGTGAAAGAAAAAATGTAAGGTGAGTGTGACTGAGATGAGGATGTTAAGGTGGATGTGTGGCAAGACTAGACAAGACAGAATTAGGAATGAGCGTATTCGGGAATGGGTAGGAGTAGCATCGATAGAAGATAAGTTAAGAGAGAATCGATTGAGATGGTTTGGTCATATTCAGCCAAGACTAATAGAGGCAGTAGTGAAAAAATGCGATGCAGTAACGGTAGATGAAGTGTTAGGGGACTGGGTAGGCCTAGATTAACATTGGCTAGCATTGTAAATAGAGATATAGATCTACTTAATTTGACTAACGAAATGACATTTGACAAAGTTGCGTGGAGAAGAAGGATTCATATAGCCGATCCCATTTGATGAGACTTAAGGCTTGGTTTGGTTGTATATATATGGAGAGAGACAAGAAATTTCTGTAACATATCAGTTTATACAATACCAAGAAGTGCATAGAAATTTAAGTTCTATTACTTGCCTCCAATAAAGAAGTAGAATGAAACAACCAATTCCCACACTCAAAAACTTTTATTTTCAAAAGCCTCCACAAATTCATCTTTGAAATTGTATAAAATAACTGTCACCCTTTGATTAAAATTAAAATGTATTCAACCACCAGAAGCTCAAATTGATGTTCCCATTCATGGATCCTAAGTAACATCACACACACGAGAGAGAGAGAGGGAGAGAGAGAGAGAGAGAGAGATACACAAAAGACCATAGCCCTCTAAATTGATTGTTACCGGGAAAAACAAATACAAAATACAAAATGCTCTTAATTAACTTAAGTAGTAGAATTCGACTAGAACATCACCAATATAGGTGTCTAGGAGCCAAAGGAAAAGCAACATATCCAAGACTTATTGTAAGACCGGTGAGATGACAAAACGGGAATTAGATTACCTATACCATATACCTTGCACCCTCTAAATCAATATGTATATGCCTTTTAAATACTGTTATTTCCTTTCTCATTCTTCAGCCGTACTAGTCAAAACTAGAAAAATGAAATTCTGTGTGCTATGATATCATCAGCGCGATCCCTCAAGCCCAAGCCTCCCGTGTAGCCAATTGCAGACTTCATCCATCTCTTTAGGGACCGTGTAATGACCAAGCCTGCACAAATCAAAACAATGATTCAGAACACTGCCTTGTGATCTTGATAGTATATTAGAGTTAATGAATGCTTCCTAACAAAATGGCCGGTCAGATTGATACCCGTCATAGGATTTGAATGTAAGATATCGAAATCCTGCTAAACTCAAGTACTGTGCGGAGTTCTCTCCAAATTTATGAGCCACCACATCATCACCTGCAGAAGGCAAATAATATGGTAGAATTGTTAACTACGACATTGTGTGGCACGTCTTTTTATGTGCCCTCGTATATTATAAACATGGAACACTTATTCAATTCCGTGATAATATAAACATGGACATCCCATGAAATCCTAAGGACAGCAGTCAAAATTCTCTTGCAAAATTAGTTGATCTCAGCTAGCTTGGTGATCTTGCAAGACTAATGCTTGATGGGATATTTGATTCAACTCATCTAAGAAGCATAAACATGGACACGGACACGTGACACGACACGGATACGACACGTGGGGGACACGTGTGAAATATGTAATTTTATATATTTATTATATGTTATATATATTAATATATCATTCAAAGATAATAAAAAATGCAATATAACACTAATTCCTATAAATTTATATGATTTTTGTTTTATTATTGTATCTTAAGTTATTTTGTTTAAACTTATAATTAGTTTCACATGTGTTCAATCGATAGACACGTGCGTTTATGTGATTGACATTGTGTCCTCCAAGTGTTCAAAGAGTGTCCGGGTCTTTAAAAAAATTTAAATATTAGGACACGTTTTGAAGAGTGTCGAACACATGTCCTAAGAGTATCTAAAGAGTGTCGGTATCCGACACGGATACGTCACCTTCTTAGAAGTGTCCGTGCTTCTTAGGGTGGGTCCCATATTTTTTTTGTCTCCTTATATCCTGTGTTTGGTTGCTCCGAATATAGGGAGTCCAGATAGTATATGATGCAAAAGGGGGATATGCAATACCACCCCCCATAGTATTGTATATCCCTCACTGTCGAATATAGCTCATCTTTCATCCAAAGGTCAAAAATAATCACTATCCTCTTATCCCATCATATATCCTATCTTAATCAAACATAGTATAAGTGACCTCACAATATATATAATCCGTCTTATATCCTATAACATATTGGGCTTGTTTGGTTTGTATTTGAGAAACATATTTTGAGATAAAAAGTACGAAAATTTGTTTGGTTTGATTTTTTTTCAAAAGATGTTTTAAAAAATTATTTTGAGAGAGAGTTTTGAAAAAAGTGATTGATTTGATGTGTATGAGAGATAGATTTGTTTAGAAAATTTGTAAACCAAACAAGTTTTGAAAAAAAATTTGAAAAAATTTGTTTGGTTTGATTACTTTTGAAAACTTATTTGTAGAGAATTTTTCTCAAATTTTTTTGAGAAACACAAACTTAGGCCTCGTTTGGCAAGAGGCTATTTTAGCCAATTAGCCAAAAAGTTACTAAATTAGTCAAAAAGTTACTAAATTAGCCAAAAAGCCAACAACCCATACCAAAAAGTCAAAGATTCTCTTTTCTCTCTACTTTTTGCACATCTTTTCGTAATTAGCTAAAAAGTCATCCCAAACATTTAAATTTTTTTTACCTACCTTTTTAGCTAAATAGCCAAAAAATTACTAAATTAGCCTGTTCCCAAACGAGAGGCCATCAACATTTAATCAATTTTTTAAAATAATTCAAAATTGTAAAAAGTAACGTCACGTGCTTTTAATTAAGATGTAGAACGTAATTGGTTTGGTTGTAGACCACTAAAAAATACACCATTAATAATACTAATGTATTGAAAATGATAAAAAAAAATAAAATAAAATAAAAAGTGAGTCCCACTATTACATCTTTAGTGCTTCCTTACCACTAAAAATATGCACTAAAATATTAAAAAAATTAAAAAAAAAAAAATACAATTTCAAGACTAAAATATCACATCATTAATAGCGGGACCCACTGCCACCTAATTAGTGGGAGGTGCTCCCAAGCATTTTTCTTTATCGTAAGTCTCTTTATGCCGTACCCAAATAATTCAAAATTGTAAAAAGTAACATCACATGCATTTGATTAAGATGTAGAACGTACGTGGTTTGGTTTTATATCGGGGTGTTTGGCAAGAAAAAAAATAGTTTAGGTCTCGTTTGGAGATTTACTTTTTTAATTAAAAAGTTAAAAAATTATTTTTTTAGTTAAAAAATTAATAACTCATATTAAAAAGTCAAATATTCTCTTTTCTCTCTATTTTTTGTACATCTTTTCGTAATTAGCCAAAAAAATCATCCTAAATATATAAGTTTTTTTATCTACTTTTTTAGTCAAATAGCCAAAAAGTTACTAAATTAGCCTGCTCCCAAACGAGGCCTTAGTTTAGGTTAAAATTTATAAAAAAATAAAGTATATTAAAATAGTTAATAAGATAAAATATCACATCAAATTCATAATCATTTTATTTTTTCTCTCACAAACATTACATCAAACCATAAAAAAATTCAATCATCTTCCCAAACACAAAAATTTTAACCTATTAAAATAGCCAAAAACTAAAATAGCCTATTAAAATAGCAACTTTCTAAACGAAGCCACTGTTTGGATTAAGGGCGGTTGTTGTGCCTTCAATACAGTAGTGATTGTTATGTTTTAATTTGAAGTGTATTATGAGTTTATTTTTATGATTTAAACTATTCATTTTATAAGGTTTGTTGAGTATTTCGTGTTTACCAAAAATTATATTAATTGAATATAAATAACTATATGATCGGTAATTAAAAAAATAAACAATAAATTTTTATTTTAAGAAATAACATAAATAATATGTAATTGATCATATAATTATTGATATCAATTAATATAATTTTTGATAAATACTTAACACTCAACAAATCTTACAAAATAACAATTTAAATTATAAAAATAAATCCATAAAACACAACAGCTGTGCTAATGCCTTAATCCTTATCCGTAAGTCTATTTATCCGTGAGTCTGTTTATGCCGTACATTACGCCTTCTGGCACGCACCCCTATGTCTCACACTTCGTAATTTAGCCAAAAAAAAAAGCTAGCTTTTGGCAAGTCAAAAAAGTTAATTTTTTTTATCCAAATTACTATCCAAAAAGAAATTAATTTTTTTTTGACTAAAAAATTTAAAAACTTTTTATTAATTTCCCAACACATCACATTGAGGAATTTTTCTTGGATAATTCGCTCTTTTTTTTTAATGGATAATTTTGTTTATGGAAGGAGTCAATTAAGGGGTTATTTGGAAAGTATTAAATTAATATAATTTTTAATTTTTTATGAAAAAATATTAAATATAGATTGAGTTTGAAGTGATACGCTAAAAATGTGACGTGACTTAAATAAAAATATTGAATCTAAATAAGGTAATGTGCTAAAATAACACGTGCTATTTTATCACATACCAAACAATCACTAAACATATTTTTCCTAAGTTTGCCGACCAGCATATGGATTTTTTTCGGAATTTTATGAAATTACACTAATATTTGTATTTTAGATATATTGACCTATTTTGATAATTGAATTAAAAGTCAAAAAATTAATTTTTTGATTTTTTTTTGTCACATTACCTTTTTATTTTTGTACACGTTTTAAAAAAAAGGATAAATTATAAATACATTGATGAGATTTGATTAAAATATTAATCGCCCTTTGTGGTTTTGAAAATTACATTCCATCCTCTGAGATTTCTAATTTCACAACAAATCGTCCATTTTATTAATAAATCATTAAGTCAATTAACAATTTTTAATGATGTTAAAAATATATTCCAATTAATAATTTAGGTAATTTTATTATTGTATAGGAGAGCAATTATGAATTTCATTTATTTAGTTAATTTTGTTAAATAAAAAATTCTAATAAGAGGGCTTTTGTAATTTTCCAAACCACAGAGGATAATTAATATTTTAAACAAATCTCAGGAGGTGTAATTGTAATTTATCCACAAAAAAAAAAAAGTTAAAAAATTAATTTTAACTTAATTTCCAAAATAGGCCATTATCTAAAAAAGGCTCTAAATGCATTTTAATCTTTTGATTAGGAATGACTTTAAATGCATCCCACAAATTTGATTGGACACTCTAATTTTGAAAAAAAATATTCATACTATTATAACCTTAAATAAAATTACCAAAAAGTCCAAAACCTAAGCTATTTCCGACAGCTCTTTCACACTCCGATTAGCCTCTTCTCATTTCTAATAGTCGTTCACTACTGCTCCCTCTACTCTAGCAAGCCATTCACCATCGCCTCCTCTTCTTTCTTCTTCTTCTTTTTCCCTCATTTACTCCTATCCACCGCCGCCACCTCTTCTTCTTTTTCTTTGCCTGAAAAACCCCAATCTAGTATCCTCTCTTCTCTCCCTTCTTCTAATCCCCCTTGCTCTCTTACTCATCCCTGCTGCTTTATTTTATTTTTCTTCTTTGCCTGCATAATACTAACCCTTCATTCTTTTCCACCACGAATCCTTTTCATGTCATGAAATCCCTTCCAGTACCTCCGCAAACCTTAGATCTAGAGGAGAAGGACACAAAGGAAAATAAAAAAGAAAGAGAAAAGGAGGAAGCAGTGGATGGCATGGAAGGTGGAAGATGTTGGAAGGCAGTCATGGCCATGGCCTGACAGCAGAGGCCATAAGAAACTAACAGTCAATCATTAAGTCTTGCTTTATATGTCATAAATGATATCAGTCATGGGATTTTAAGTCAATTGGTGTTTATTTATTTAATTAGAATTTATTGGCTGTCATCTCATAAATAATACAGTTTCATTTTTCAACAAAACGTTCCAAGAAAAGGCAAAAAAACAATGGTTTTTTAAGCAAAAGATTTTTAATTATTATTTAAAATGTGTGAATCAAATTAGTATTATTGGTACTGCAATAAATTTTAATTTTAAACATTTTCTTTCTTTTTATTTTATTATAATTTTTGAATAAATTAATCAACTTTACTTTAGTGGGTGTTGAGCTGTCTGATTTTGATGAACTAATCACATAATTGTCTAATCAAAAGGTCTTCAATTATTATTTTTAATGCTAAAATACAAAAGCTAGAAAAAATATTCGATCCATAATTTAAAATACATGAATCAGATTATGGTGTCGTTTGGGAAGAGCATGTTTGGGCTTATTTGGGCTCTTTTGGCTCTTTGAACTACAAAAGATAGAATAGGCTATTTGAGCCACAACAGACAAAACATCACATCCAACCCATAATTATTACACTCTTCTCTCACAAAAAAAGGTCAAAAAAGCCAAAAAACCCTTCCCAAACCAAGCTTTTGAACCCAGGCTCAAATAGCCAAAAAAGCCAAAAAATCAAAAAACCAACCCACTTTCCAAACGGAGGCTAAATAAGTCTACACTTTTTATCTTTTTTGGATCACATCAATCA